AGCACCAGCTGAAGCTCCCGGTCGACATCGGCATGTTCTTCTTCGGCCTTGCCAACGCTGGCGTCAAGCTGGGTTCGGTGGGTGGCGTTACCACTTGCGTCTTGGGGTCCCTCATCGTAGGCAAGACCCTGGGTGTCGCAGGCTTCGCGATCCTCGCGCACTGCTGCGGCTTCGGCCTCCCAGACGGCATCGTGATGAGCGACCTGTTCGCGATGGGGGCCCTGGCTGGCGTCGGGCTCACCGTGGCCCTCTTCGTGTCGAACGAGGCCTTCACAGATCCTGGGCTTCAGGGTCAGGCTAAGATGGGGGCCTTACTCTCCATCGGGTCTGCTGGGTTTTCTTGGCTCATCAGCGCGGTCCATAAGAAGTTCTGCGCGCAGAGCCGTGCAAGCGGCGAAGCCGTCGCAGAGGACGGAGACGACGACGAGGATGAGGACGATGGGTTCGAAGAGGTGATCACCCACGAGATCATTCAGCAGATGTGGGAGTTCAGGCGCTACAAGGCGAGAGGGCACGAGCTGACGGTTGAGCAGATGGCGCGCACGCTCTCGAAGAACGTCCGCTCGATCTCCAAGAGCGACCGCCCGGTCACGAGCGAGTCCGTCGGGTCGGACAACGTCGTGCGCCAGATATCGACGCCCTCCAACGGGACCCGGCCGCCGGGCTCCGCGAGAGCGTCGGGGGCGCTGGAGAAGCTGGGGCCCTCCAGGTCCGAGCGGAGGCGCAGCTCCAGGAAGCACGCCACCTGGGCGACGACGCACCTCCGGCCGCCGGGGACGCCGGGGACGCTGGCGTGAGGTCGGAAGGCCACGGCCGCGACGCGGTCGCCGCAGGTCGGCGCTCAGCACCGCTGGCCGGGCCGCACCCCGAGGCGCTCCTGCCGCGGCAGCGCCAGGGCGGCCTTCCAGGGGCCGCGGCGCTGCCCGGAGGCTCTGCCCGAGCAGTCGCTGGCACATCGGGCGCATCATCGGCCTCGAGGGCCTCGCGGCTCGTCCGCCGACCCCGCGACCAAGAGGGGGAGGGGTGGGGGGGCGAAGCCAGCAAGTCGCGGGAGCTTGGTATACCTCCTTCATCCCGTCTTTGGCGTCGACTGGAGCGTCAATGAGCGCCTGGGAGCCAGTGAGATAGCGCCGATTTGGCGTCGCTTCGCGTCGATCCGCACGAGCCGACGAGAGGGCAAGGGGGAGGCGAGCGCGCGTGCCCGGCCCGGGAATGCCTCGGGCGCACGGCGCGGGCGGCGCGTGTCCGCCGGGGAGGAGGAGGAGGAGGAGGAGGAGGAGGAGGAGGAGGAGGAGGAGGCGGAGGAGGAGGAGGCTCCCACCACGGCCACGGTCTCGCGGAGACCAATGGGCTGCGCTCGAAAGGCTCGAAAGGAGGCTCCCACGAGCTGCCACCGAAGGGGGCGCCCCCGGCTCTCCGGAAGGGGGAGCCCGCCTCCTGCGTGCGCGGGCCGGGCTCTCCGCCCCGGGGGAGTGGCCTCTCTTTCCCTCCGTGGGGTGCCTCCGCCCTGGGGCCCCGAGCCGTCGGCGACGGGGCTCCTGCTCTCGGCGTTCGGTCGGGCACGTCCCCCTGCAGGACAGGAGGAAGATCCCAAAATAGCCATCAGCGGTCAGGGGGCGATCTTTTTTTACCACTGTTGAATATTCTTGATTATTTCTGGACTACGTTTAATTTTTCGTCCGAGAATCCCCCTGTAGGGGGACAGGCCCGACCTAACCTTGGCTGGCGGTCTCGTAGCCACGCTTCGGCTGTACAGCCGGGACGCTGCGATCCAGCTGCCTCCGGCGATTCAGTGCCGCCACCGTTCAGAGGAGGAAAAGGTGCCCGTACCGCTACCCTTCGGCCGTTGTCCCCTTGTTCGCCTTCCTGGGAGGCCTTCGTCGGCACCGCTGGATTCGCCTCGAAATCCTGGTCAGATCGCGCCCTGGGAGAGGTCCGGGGAGTAGCGGTATGCGGTACCCGTGGGTTTCCCCAGCCGTGCCGGCGCAGCACTCTGGGTGGCAGCTGCTCGAGAAGGCAGAGGGGGCCTGCGGGGGCCTCTCGGGGCAGGAGCCTCGGAGGCCGGGTTCGCGTTCCCACTCTCCGGCCTCTCCTGGGGCCCGCTTGGGCAGTCGTGGACGCCTCGTGGGCCGTCTTGGAGCCCTCTGGGGCTGTCTTGGAGCGTCGGACGCTCGAAAAGGCGAGAACCTACAATACGTTGAAAAAGCCAAGGGTAGTCAACGGCGTTTGCCTCTCAAAGCCCTCTTAGGGGGCCTCTTTTGGCCTTCTTGGGCCCTCCTGAGCCCTCTTGGGGCGGAAGGCTCGAATTCTCGGTTCGCGTTCATCCTCTTGGGCCGTCTTGCGGCCCTCTTGAGGGCTTTTTGGGCCGTCTTTGGGCAGTCTTGGTGGCCTCGTGGGTCGTCTTGCGACGTCGGAAGCTCGAAAAGGAGAATCAAAGGAGAACCAATGAAGTAGAAAAACGATGCGGCAACCCGAAAAACGTGTAACAACAAACGAGAATCAATGATGTTTGCCTCTCGAGGCCCTCACGGAAAGGCTCTTGGGGCCCTCTTTAGACGCGCTTCCGATTCCGATTCGATTCGATCTCGGATTCCGATGTGGATTCCGATTTGTCAACGGAAGCCTACTTGCCTGCCGATTTCTGCCGATTCGACTTCTCCCACTCGGCTGCCGATTTCCGCCGATCCGATTCATTTCGATTACCTATTCGACTTCTCGATTCGATTCTGGGCTCTCCTGCTTCCGAGGACCCCGTTAAAGAACAACAATATGAACAAGACATCTCATTCGTGAGCCTGGAGCGTTTCCCCTGACGGTGGCTGGAAGCACATGCTCTCGATGGCGTGAAGAGCGCATGATGTATGTTGTGTGAGCGTTGTGGCGATGCCGTGTCACTTGACTTTGGGGGCACCTCGGGGAGTTGTTGGGACCTTTTTGGGGCGGTCTTGCAGCCGTCTCGGGAACGTCTTCAAGGTCAGCTGGGGGCCCTCTGGTACCATCTTGGAGCCATCTTGGGAGCCTTTTGGCCTGTCGGCAGGGCTCCTGGTGACCTCTCGGGCCCTCTCGGAGGCCTCTCGGAGGCCATCTGGAGGCCGTCTTGAAGCGAAGAACGCAGCATTCGGAACAGCCACAACGATCTGCAGGCTTTAGCGGCTGGCCTCTCGGAGACCCTTCGTGGAACCACCCGGGAGCCCCTCGGGGCCATCTTTGGGGCCATCTCCGGGACCTGCCGGGGCCGCCTCGAAGCCAACTGGGGCCACCTGGAAGCCATCGGTGGACAAGCCGACCCGGAACATTGGATACTCCGGATTTCTTAATAAGCGTGCGGGGGTGGATCGCGTGGGTGGGTGGAAATCGCTCGTCCTGCGAGGGGCGTGGGGGTGTGCCAATTTTGTTACCGCTGCGCCGTCCCGCGTGGGGGGGGTCCGTCCTGTCCGCCTGGCGGGGGGCGGGCGGGGGGAGTCAGTTTTGGTGACATGTCGTCTCATCGCGTGGGGGGCTAAGGGGTTGCGCGGGGGCGAGGAGGGCGACTCTCGGGGCCAGCTCGCGCGCCCCTTGGGGCCTCGTCTTGGAGCCCTCTCGGGCCCGTCCTGGCTGCCGCCTGGGGTCCCCATCAGGCCTCCCTCGCGCGAGCCCGTCCCGGGCCTGGACCTTCGGTTGGACGAGTCGGGTGCTGCTAGAATCGAAGCAGAAAAAACGCCAGAAACATAAACTTATGGCGCTCCGCGCGGATTGCTGGGATCCGCGCCTGGGCCCCCCCGGCGGCGCCTCCGGCGCCGCCCCTGGCGCGCTGCGCACGCCGGGGAGGGGGATCCGGCGCAGATCCAAGAAATCCGCGCGGACCTCCAAAAGTTTATGCATGTTTACGCGGCTTGTTCTTCAAGTGTACATATGTTTATGTGGTTGTTTTGTTCCTCTGAGGGTGCTCCCAGGGATGCCCGCGGAGGCCCCCACGGCCGCCAGGAGCACCCCATCACGAGGCCCCGGCGGTCCCGGGTCCCCAGGGCCTCCAGATCGGAGCTCAGCTACCCCAAAGTGGTGATCTGTGAAGCGTGCGGTCCTTCGAGATGGCAGCGACTGAAGCTGAGACTCGGGTGTCCGGGCAGGGAGTCCATAAGTGGCTCACGTGGCAGCTTGTCCGGCGCCTTCCACACAAGGTGGTAAACCTAGGTATGCCATACCGGCGCGGCTTTCGTGTTCACTGTTTAGCGGCTGGAGGTAACCCTGCACCCAATGACAGCGGCACTGGGGTCTCGGCGTTCTGCCCCTCCGCGCAGGCCGAGGGAGGTCCGCACAATCTAGTGGTGGGAGTGCACCGGTGCCAGAACCCTCAGCCCACCTGCAGTTCGCCAGATATAGTGTCATCCCAGTGTCGTGAGGAAACCCAGACGGAGGAACCTGCGGGTGTGGCTCGCGGGACCCTTACGAGCAAGCCCTCCGTCGGGTGCAGGATAGTGCCTAAGGTCGCTAGGTGGTGGTTCATGTTAGCTGTGCCAGAGGGGTGGTCTACAGAGACCTTTCTCGCCCCCGCCGGGCACCTTTGGCCATGGCCACTCCGAGGAACACCCGAACGCGCGGAGGGCGTACCGAGGGGTGGCGCTCCTGGGGCAGGCCCGGGGTGAGGATCCGAGAAAGCGCAAATGGTCAAGGCGCGTGGATCAGCGGCTGGTCCCGTTCCCGTTTTGGAGTCGGCGCGCTCCGTCGACAGATCCGGCGGCACGGGCTTCGTGTCTCGGGGGGTGCTTGCCCTGGTCGCTGGGCCTGGCGCCCACGCGCCAAATCCACGGCTCCCGAATCCACGTTTGGCGCATGACCGACAGATGGCACGCTCCAGAATTTTCCCGACGCGCTCCGGAGCGTTCCGAAACGGCCGCTGGCGCCCGACACGTGTTCCAGACACCCCAGCTCGCAGAGGTTCGCCCGAACTTACCTTCGTCGTGCTTCCGTCTCTGCGCTGCTCCGTGGCCCGGCAGCGCGAAGGCGGCCTGGCGCGGCCAGCAGAGGCTCGTTTCCCCTTCAAGCTGGGTCCGGGGCTGCGGCCCGCAGGCCAGAGGGAGTTTGAGAGTGATGAGGGCCTGATCACACAAGTGTTTTGTTCTTGTTTGTGTTCTCACAGGCGTCCGTCTGGACTCTTACACGCCTGTGAGCCCCAAACGGACCGACGGACTTGGTTTCTGGTCTGCAGGCATTCTGCGTGCCTTTGCGCACCAGGCTCTCAGCAGGAGTTTTCTATCGCGGCCTCCGAAGGAGTCGCGATCGCGTGCCTTTTGAGAGAACTTGTCCTCTTGAACGTCTGTTGTTTGAGCGCGTTTGTCCGCTTCCCTTTCCTCCTCCTCCTCCTCCTCCTCCTCCTCCTCCTCTCCCCCCTTCTCCTCCTCCTCCCCCTCCTCCTCCTCATCCTCCTCCTCCTCCTCCTCCTCCTCTGAGAAGGGAAAGATTGCCGTTGGCATTAAAAAAACGCCCATCCAAAGATGTTGCTTTGACAGGGCGGGGCCACTTCCAGGCCCCACATTTCAATGTTGCCTTCGCGGCCGGTGTAGGAGTACAACCATCGGCACAAGAAACGCCCATGACCCAGACCCGCAGACACACCCGTCTTCAACATTGAAATCGGGGGACGCGGGCGTTCTCAACGCATAGGCGTGGGTTTCTCCGTTTGGTCGAGAGTTTTTACGCCAATGGCGATACGTACCTTACCTAATGGGGACCGCGGCTACCAACCCACACCAAACTGGCCACCAGCTGAAGAGATTAAGGGAAGGCGAGTGCTTGGTATGACTGTGTGCGGCTCGTCAGC